AGACGTGATAGAAACATTTGTTTTGCATATTCGTAATCAGCTCACTTGATGCTGTAATGGTCGAAAGATTACTAGGAAGGTTTCAGTCGTGTAGGAAAAAGTAAACGCTTTCGGAAAGAGTCCACTCACAGTCTAGTCACAGTTGAGTTCGAATCGTAGGTTGCGCTATACCTGTGACACACGTCGAGCACGATGGAAACAGCCGTTTGATAATAATTCCGCATCTAATATCCGATTCGCAAGCAGTCTGAACGGCACGGTACACACGCAGAAGCAGCACAGCCAAAACTCAGCACGACGGAGCGTGGGCAACGAAGAAGTCTAGTTTGTAATCGTTAATTCAAACAGACTGTACAAAAGATGTCATGATAAAATTGATGATGGGAAAGACAAAATGCGAAATATTAATCACCACTACATAACTCCCCCCGTAGAGCGTGAACTGGTAAGGAAACGCTCGATATAGCTATTTAGGGAACAAACTCAGCTAGTTTGGAGGGGAAAGACACAGAACCTCCTGAACGTGTGTGCTTGGGATCATTCGTTGAGCGAGCGCCTGAAGATTCTGGAGCGTTTGAATCGGTCGGTTGACCAACAGGTGATGACAACTTGGGATCAGTCAAAGTAACGATAGGTTTAAGACGGTCAATACTCACAGATCCCTTCGATCCATTAGTTTCCAAAATGAAGTACTCAAGCTTCCGTGACAACATTATGTAAGGACCTTCATAAGGGGGTGTCAAGAGCTTGCGAACTGTGTCAGTGCGAATGAAAACAAAAGGACAAGTGTGTAAGTCCGGATGAATTCGTTGTTCGCGGGCAGTGAGGCGAGTAGACGTAGGTTGAATTGTTCGGAAGTGTTGTTTAAGACGTTCGGCGTAGGACACAGGATTCAGTTCACCAGTGACTGGGGAATCCAAAATCATCTCATCTGGAAGTCTGAGAATGGCGCCAAAGACGAATATGGCAGGGCTGCATACAATATCCTCTTTGACGGTATTACGAATATCAAGTAGGACGGATGGAATGTGTTCAGACCAATGTGGGTCAGGTGAATTGGCTGTGATGGCGGCTTTAAGCTGTCGATGGAAACGGTCGACAAGACCATTCCAAGCGGGATGATAAGCAGTTATCCGAATGTGGGTACACCACAACAGACGATTCAAGGCAGGGAACAAGGTAGAACTAAACTGAGATCCTCGAGACGTAGTGGTAGTAGATGGCACACCGAAAAAGAAAATCCATGAGTTGAAAAATGCACGGGCAACCGTTTCTGAAGATGTGTCACGTAAAGGAATGGCATGCGACCGACTAGTATAAAACGGTCAACACAAGTCAGCATGAAAGTGAACTTGTTCGATGAAGGAAGCGGTCAGACTATGTCTAGGTGGACATGTCTAAAACGCGCCTCAGTTGGTGAGAACGTTCCGGGGCAGAAATAGTGTGTCTGTATACTTTGCTGCTCTGGCACCTGAGACAGTGTTTAGCCTATTGATGGATATCGGAGCGCATACGATCAGTAATCAACTTCACAGTGGATCGAATGCTAGGATGCGATAGTCCATGAAAATGATCAAATCCGGTTCGCCAGAAAGACTGGGAACAAGCGGTCTTGGCTTACGGTAGAGGCATCGCAGTGAATGCTTGCATCTGAGTTTAACACAGCTAATTGCAAGAATTACAATGTAGTATTCGATAGTAGCTGAAGGAGTTCAGGATCGTTGTTTTGGGCAACGGACATTTCCTCAAGGTCTATTGGAGAGGACGAAAATGCATCAGCGGCAACATTGTTTGGACAGTCGAGGTAGCGAATGTCGACACAGAATCGTGAGAAGTAATCCAGGTGTTGTGGTTCTCTCAGAGAATAGCGGTCGAAAGCGGCACGAAAAGTGTAGACCAACGGCTTATGTTCCGTCAGAATTCCAAAACGTCATCCTTTAAGTAAGTGACGAATACGTTTGACGACCAAGTAGATCGAGAGAAGTTCGTGACCGAAAGTACTATAGCTTTTTGTGCTGCCTGTAGCTTTTGAGCAAAAATGACAGCGGCTGAAGCACATTGCCGATTAGTTTTTGTAGTACAGCACCGACAGTGGATTGTGAGGCATCAGTCTTGAGAACGATAGTAGCGTTATCGTCCGTGTCCAAGTAGCTCAGGGAAGTTACCTGGCTTAACTTCTGCTTGATGGCAACAAACGCTGTTTCGGCTGCTGGTGTAATGATGAACTTCTTAAGATTAACTTTAAGTAAAACAGTCAAAGGCTGAAGAACGGCGGAACAATTGTAAATGAATCTTCCGTAATAATTAACCACGCCAAGGAATCGGCGTAGGTTTTTAACTCATTGTGGCAGTGTATAGTCCATGATTGCCTGGATTTTCTCAGGGATGGGACTAATGTCTTTACTATCAATTTTGTGACCAAGAGAATGGATGCTAGATTGACCAAATAGACATTTGTCAGGATTAATGGTTATCCCGTGATGATCGAAGCGTTCTAATACTTGTCGAAAGTGATCCAAGTGCTCTGCTGGCGTAGCACTGGCTATTAGGACATCGTCAATGTAGTGGAAGACAAAGTATAGGCCACCCAGGACCTGGTCCATGAAGCGCTGAAAGGATTGTGCCGCACTGTAAAGGCCAAGGAGCACGAGAATGAGCTCGTACAAACCGAAAGGTGTGATACCGGCCGTTTTAGCAATGTCTCCAGGTGCCATTGAAATCTGATGGTACGCTCGAACAAGGTCAATCTTGGAAAAGACGGATTTCCCGGACAATCCCAATGGAAAATCATGAATATGAGGGATGAGGAATCTGTCGGAAATGGTAACGGCGTTGAGTGCGCGGTAATCATCGCACGGATGCCAATCACTGGACTTTTTGGGTACAAGATGAACCGGGGAAGCCTAACAACTGTTGGATGGACGGATGATGCCGAGGTGGGTCATTTGCTCGAATTCACGTTTAGCCGCTTGGAGCTTGTCAAGTGGAAGACGTCTCGGTTTGGCTAACACAGGTGAACCTGTTGTGACAACATGATGACGAACCTCGTGTTTAGGCTCGGTAGACTGGGTATTAAAGAGGGTATCAAAGAGGTATCAAAGAGGGGAATTGCTGAAGTACTGATGAATGCTGCGTACTGTCTGGCATGAGTACGCGACTGGGGTGACATGGCAAGGGACATGAGCGAAGTGCTGCCGCCCCTAAACTTCCAGAAACGTAGGTCGACCACGAGACCAAATTTGCTAAGAATCGATGCCAATTATGGGTTTTTGGATATCTGCGATCGTAAAGATAAAAGGAACTTTGGGTCGTAAATCGAGGCTTAGATACAACAGCTTCTGGTCGTAGGTCGCAATCTTAGTCTGGTTAGCCGCCTGTAACGTAAGTCCGGCCGATTGTGGAGCGCCTTTTTCCAAAGATCGTGGTATAACGCTGAGTCCTGCGCTCGTACCAACCAAAAAGTGCTGGTTAGTCGTGGAGTCGAACAGGTACAGAAGGCGACTGAGGTTGACTAGCGACAGCCGTCGTCATTATTGGCTGGCTTTGGCATTTGCCGGTTACGAAATCGGAGTTCCTTTCGGATAATTGCATCCCGGGCGACAGTTACATGCTGCTTTACCGTAGCGACGGTGGAAGTAGCAGTAGAACCGCTGACGTGAGCGTGATGTGCTGCGGCGCGGACCACGAGGACTACTTCGGTTAGTAGTGCATTCATAGTTATCAGTCGATCATCCAGATGCCGTGCAACTGTTGACTTCGAAATATTCTTGTACATTTCTGCTCGTACTGATACTCTCATTTCCCGGAGCGTAAGAGTTGAGTCCCTTGCGACCCAATCCAAGATGTTGTCTACGTCTTCCTCTGACAGAATCCGCTTACGACCGTGCGCCTGCGTAGTACTCGGTCCTGATCAAGAGGACGACCAATCCAGGAGTAGGCTATTTGATATTTGACGTTGTTCACAGTTGCCACCAGCTGCCAGTCATCACCGTTGACGAAAGCGCCCAAAACTCCGTCGCGAATGTCTGATGTGATACTCTGTCGAACGCGAGAAGGCATACCGACGACGTTGGAATCATAGACATGGTTTCGGTTGTGTGCTTATATTCCGGCTGTTCATTGCTCTCAGACCAATTGGGATCCACCGTTTCGGACGTGAGGGGGGCGTATACAAGCCCGTTGCACCGCCAAAGTCCATGCCTCTAAGGTTCATTCACAAGTCTCACCCAGTCAATGGGCAGCGCGCTCAACTCCCCAGACTAACGCACCGAACCTTCGCATCCGGCCAATGAGAACACACTTAAGGTCAGAGGGTTGGCTTTGAGCGGCTGGCGAATCGCACAGGGTTTTGCAACATTCGGACTTTCTTTGCAAAATTTTGCGCATTCTTTGCAAAAGTTTGGACCTTTTATGCAACTTTGCGGGAAATGCTATAGTAGAGGCTGTATTGAACCCCATACTTTCAAAGTCGCTCCTCAATTTTGAGCCCATAGTTTGATTGTAATACATTGACACCCAAATTAGCTCTCTGAACTTCTAACCGATAGCCGTGTTAACGTAATTGCTTAAGTAACGATGTTTGTTTAAAATGATGATAACTTGTTTCAAGCCACCTCCGCACATAGCGAGATGAGATCTGGATGTGCGGCTGAAGACTTTAGAGGGATTACGCCGCAAGGAATCAAGTCCCCAGGAGGTTATTCCATGGGTGGCCGTATTACTTTACCTGAACTGCCGGTTATACTTACATTTATTCTCAAACTCTCCATCTTTTACAACGTTTAAATGATGGTAAACTCCTAACACTCCATTGGGACCACTGGAAAACTCGAACAACTTTCCCCATTAAGTTGCAAAAATGATCAGGCCACATAACCGGTCTGTTCTCGCAAGGTCGAGAAACATGCCATTCCTTTATTTAACCATTTCCTATTTGGTAAGTGGCACCTAGTTTTTAATGAATGGATCAGTTCCCAGTCCTATAGATAAATCGAACTCACCTGTTCCTCGATTGCCGCTGCGTGCTCTTGTTGCATCTGCTGCAATGCGGCCTCGTAACGTTGCTCAAGTTCCTGAATTTCCGCCCGTTGTGATGTCGCCCACTGCTGTCTCTCAGTTTCACGAACGTAGCACAACTCGTTCAGTTGTTCGCGTCTGGCTTCCACCTCCTTGGTAAGTAGTCGTTTACTCTCTCCCAGTTCCAGCTCTAACCTCTCTAACTGATTTCGTGCAAGCTGCTCGCGCTTCTTCAGTTCATTGAATCGGATTACATTTTCTTTCCTGATCTGAGGTGTGGAAAGTGCATCAGTGGGTGAAGTGTACATTTCAGAATTAGACAATCCTTATGACAAAGGTATGAAAAGTATTGACGGTGTACCAGCAATATATGTTGGAAATTTGTTACCACACACAACTGCAAGTGGATGTATGCGGGTCGAGATACCGCAGTGGTGCCTAAAATCATGAAGCAGCTGGGACTCGATTCTACTAATAGTTTCCGTTTCTGGTTTCAGTTTTCATCAAACAGAACACAAGATCACGTCCAAGACGATGAGTTTCAGAATTGCTTTCTTCCAACACTGCATTCCACATCGAATAGAAATTCATTGACAGGTTTCGGAGTGCCTGAGGAGCCCAGTGGTGGAGGCTTCCGCCATCAACTGCTATGTGCCGGATTCCACTCCCTACTCAAGATATCTTGACATGCGGAGTCCAAATCAAAATTAAACCGGTCGGCACTGGAGTGCAGGGTTGGGAAAAAGCCGCACCGAAACTCTCCAGTTCGGACACGATCCCTCTGATTCCGTTCGAGAGTTGGTACTTAGCTTTTCCAATTCCAATTTTTCTGAACGCAAACTCTACCAAGTCACGAAACTAGGCAACTATCCAGCTATATCACTAGAACATTCACCCTAACTCACTTGAGTTATTTAAACTAATCGTAAGACTTCCTCTGCAACATTATACTATCATTCACAACCAAGAAAGAAAGATAGAACAGATCTGGGAAATGTCAAACAACCATTTACGAAGCTGTTCCTGATTCGCTGCTCAACCATGAGGCATTATGACCGTTGCCGAATGGATTCCCTTTAACTGAGACGATTAAGGAACAATCCCTTTCTTCTCATTAACATTATAAACAAGCGAATGTTCACAGGGTGTAGCGCCATCGAGCTACGGAAAACTGCCATCTATCTCACCCGTTATGAAGGCTACTTGTTACTCTTTGTTAGACTGGCTTGCGCTTCACAGTCGCTCACAGCTAGATAGTTTGACATTCGTGGCTGTCTCGTAACCTGATTGTGTTGGATACACGTACGACAGTCGTTCAAAGCTAGACCGCTCATCATTCATGACTATGTCCTTTCATATGGTTGACCTGTTGGTCTATTGATATTTTGCGTCCCGGTTGCTCAGCTTTGTCAGTTGTTTCAGTACAGCTGATGCCGCACGGCGGTGTTCTTGTTTCCTGTTCGGAGTGGGTTCAGTTACACTCAGACGTTATGATAGAATGGCGACGGGGAACCATGACGGTCCCTTTGGAATTTCTTAAAGTAATGCTATCCAGATAGCAAGCACAGTTTGAGACGTCACAGCAGAGCTTAATGGAAACGTTGACAACACGAATGACGTTACAGTCAGCATCTACGGATTCAAAAATTTCCACTGCAGACAAGCTGACGCACAGTTTGGCAGAATTTCATTACCAGCCGGACGATGACCTCACTTTCGAAGCATTGTTTCGCCGCTATGAAGACTTGTTAAAAATTGATGGGCGTGAGCTAGGCGATTCAGTTCAGGTACGCCTTCTTTGGAGGAAATTGGGTCCAAAAGAGGATGAAAAGTACTCTAATTACATTCTACCCAAGAACACACACGATATCTCATTGGACGACACTGTGAATCACTTGCCCATAATTTTCGGCCCTAAAACCTCAGTCTTCAACACCCGTTTCCGATGTTTTCAAGTTGTTAAACATCAGGAGGATGATTTTGTGACTTATGCAGCTGTTATTAACAGGGAATGTGAACGTTTTCAGCTTAGCACACTCACAAGTGATCTGTATAAAACGCTCATTATTATTTGTGTATTACATTCTTCAAAACTTGCGGAGATTCGAACACACTTGTTATCTCGGTTGAAGTCTAATCCAGAAGTCTCCCTACAGGAGCTAGTGCAGGAATGTGAAGGCATGTTGACACTGAAGCATGACACAGGAATGATCCAACGGCACAACGAGTCTTGTGTGGTGAATGTTCATACTATTCCTACACGTCCCAGGCCATCGCACAGTTCAGTACGTCTCTCCGACTTAGCACGCCACGGCTGTCCGCCTAGTGCTTGATGGCATTGTGGTCAGTGGCCTTTCGTTCGATGAATTCAGACGGTGTCTTTACAAGCGTTATGGGAATATGGGACATAAGGAAACCAGGCGTTTGCAGGGAACCTCCGGAAGACCGTCACGAACCTTCGCCAAAACTCTAAGTTTGTAACGTCGCGTTTCAAATGTGGTGTTTGCAACCACTAGCCCGAACTATCAGTCACTACGGAGGTGTGTTACAATTGTGACAAACGGTGTTCCTGTCCGGCTTCAACTGGACATAGCTTCCGATATTACAATAATCTCTCAGTCGACATGCAGCAAACTCGCTAAACGCACGTGTTCAAACTTCACACATCGCTCACGACGCGTCCGGCTCGGAATTATCCTTTCTTGGACAGTTCAATTTTGAGTTTACACCGTGATTTGCATACTAATGGAGTTTGTTACGTTGCGTGTTATGGACATTTGAACTCGTTAGGCAAAGATTTGATAGACAAACTTAATTTATGGAGCATATCTTTGAGCAGTATTTGTGACAACCCAGATAGCTTTTCACTGTGTCCCACCGATGTTCAGCGTCCGGTTACACCCATAATGTTTAGACAGTGCAGATGCTTCATGATATTTTGCCTCTAAGTACCCCGATGGTTTTGCAGAGGGTCTTGGAATCTACTCTAAGATAAAAGCTGAGTTGTATCCGCGTACAGATGTACGTCCAGTATTTTTGTCCCAAAAGACTAGGTACCATACGCTGCCGTCGTGGCTGTGCATATATATATATATATATATATATATATATATATATATATATATATATATATATGGTTGTTTGATATCCCAGGTGTGGCTGCGCTTGATGTGCATGTTGACAAGGTGCCTACCTGTCTATTAACCACTACGTCGTCCATACTGGCTCCAGGAGACAGTTGGTCGTTGCTGGAGGGGACGGGGTGCACGGTCCTTGTGGGCGTGCTAGGCTCGAAGAGTGGTTCCATGCACTCAGTGTGGAGCGGACTACGGTCCAGCCACCGCCTTGTGTGCGCTTGATTCCCCAAATGCAGTGTGCTTGTGTTTGTCTGTGAAGGAGTGTGGGCCGGCTCCGTTGATGAAACGTGGCTCCCATCCGCATGCCTCCCGGTCTTATTCCTTAGGGTTTACACTGGATATGGGGTGTGTGGTTGGAGCTGTGGGTGGTGCAGCGCAAGCCATCCATGGTCCCTCTGTAGGCGCAGGCGTCCTGTGGCTTGCCACAGTGACAGGCAAATCCGAAACCGGATGCCGCCAACCATATATATATACATATATATATATATATATATATATATATATATATATATATATATATGCAAAGATCTACGATTAGACATAATGCCATCAGAAACCATTGGTTCGCTACACAAATAGATTGGTTCGCTACACAAACGGATCAGATATTTCCTTGTGGATCGGAAGTGGAGAGTCCAGGTGGACAGCCATCTAACGGACTGGTATTCATCGAGCAGCGGCGTTCTCCAAGGCACTGTATTGGGGCCGATACTGCTTCTGATCCATGTAAACGATGTGCCTAAGCTACTCCAATCACCATGTGCGTTGTTCGCAGATGACTTGAAGGTGTGGAGAGTTATCCGCACACTCAGTGATTGTGATTTACTTCAGCAGGATCTCGACAGCCTCTCAACATGGTCTGCAGAGGTTAACCTTCCGATCAACCCTACTAAGTCGCAATCCATGAGGTTGGGTAAATGAGAGCACAGCCGAACGTACGCAGTGGCTGGTCAACCGCTGCATCCCGCGTCTTTCTTGCGCGACCTCGGTGTGCTCTCACGCTGCGACCTAAAGTCCATTGACAACACGAATAGGCTGTACCAAAACAACCTTCGGATGCTTTGGGCGCTCAGGCGCAGCTTCAGCACTTGTTCCGAAGAGATTGCCACTCGCCTCTTCGTCTCGATAATACGATCAATGCTAGAGTACGGCTCTCCCGCATATTGTCCCATCACGCTGGGCGAGGTAGAAAAGCTTGAGCGGGTGCAGCATGTAGCCACTAGGCTGATTCCCAACTTACGAGGTATGCCATATGAAGACCGATGTAAGAAACTAGGGCTGTAGACCCTAGCATATCGTCGGCTGAGTGTTGACCTAATCATGACGCACCGGATATTACATCTGGGTGATTACTCCATGTTGAGACAACTGCTTCATCTGCGCACACCAAGCTGCACGCGAGGACACCGGTACAAACTCATCGTACCGAAGTTGAAGCGGGTCGCTCACCAACTCTGTTTCGAACGTAGAGTGGTGCATACCTGGAACAAACTGCCGCAGCCGGTAATAGAGGCGAATTCAGTGGCCGAATTTAAGAGGCTTCTAGACAAACACTTCGCAGAGGCAAAATATAAAGAGCGAAACGATAATTAATACGTTAATGCCCAAGAGCGACAACTGATGCAGCTACACAGAGTATGCTCTACTCGCTGCTTCTAATCAGTATCAGTATCAGTATTCAAACGAAGGTGCAGAAATAGTAAAGGAAAACACAACACTACAATGTTCATGGTTTCGTCAGAGGGCGAGATACTACCCGGTTGCCCGAGCTGAAGTAGGTTGTTGACTTAGGGGACACCACCCCGAGTCTTTGGTTGAATAGCCTGTCCACAAGGCAGGGGAGCGGAGTCGCTGTGAATGCCGAAATTAGTCGACCGGAGTCCATGGGCGTCATCAGTTCTGTGAGCTATTCAGCATGGGCCGCTCCTATCGTAGTCATCAAAAAGGCTAATGGAAGTTTGTGTATTTGTGCTGATTTTTCTATTGGATTAAATAACACACTGGAAACGCATCAAGATCCCTTACCTGCTCCCGAGAATTTATTCACAAAACTTAATGGAGGAAACATATTTTCTAAAATTGATCTTTCTAATGCATACTTGCAACTAGTAGTCGAGGAACGCCTGAAAGAAATGCTCACTCATCGAGGCTTGTGTCGTTACACTCGGTTACCTTTCAGAGTGAAATGTGCTCCAACGATCTTTCAACAAGTGATGGACGCTATGCTATCCGGATTACAGTGTGTCATGGCTTATTTGGATGACATAATAATTGTAAGCCCCACCACTGAAGATCATTAGACCCACCTGAACGAAGTATTCTCCAGGATAGATTCATATGGGTTTCGTGTACGTCCAGAGAAGTGCGACCTTATGATGCCCAGTTGATGCCCGGTTATCGATAGTTCCGGTCGTCGGCCAGACTCA